ATTGTTGCTTTTTCCGCATGGCATACGAAAGCAAGTTGAGAGAGCGTCGTGACGCAAAATTGAAACGTGAACTAAAATTATTCGCTTTAGCAGGCCAGGTGTACTGCAAACCTTGAGAGCTACTTGGCGTTTGAAGCGAAATTTCGGGAACCTACCTCGACTAACTTGATATGAGCCGAACGCTCGATTGCCTCCTGCCAAACGGCTCGCAAATTCTGACCTATGTAGGTATTTTCTTGGGTACCAAGACCATGGTCGCAATCACGACGGTCGCACACTTCACAGAGCCGAGGGGGTCGCTTTTGCGGGAACCAACACCTTTATTGAGCATGAACACGCCCGAAGAAATTGACGCCTTAGTTGAACTCACGACACGCCCCAGGTGACATCACGGTTCGCCTTGATTTTGTCACGTAGCGTGCCCCTCGATTAATTTAGCTCGTGAAGAAAAACCAAGGGTACAGAAAGAGCCTACATATGAATTATATTATTTGTTTGCTCGATTAAACTTGCGTGGCTCACGCCCAGTTTATGAAATAAATTTCTGCTGTGTCGCGTTGCCCGCAAAATGAATGAGGATAATTTGTTTCGCTTCTTCTATGCGTGGCGCCATCTATGTGGAATACTTGAACCTTCCTGAAGCCGAAACACAATCAGACCGCCCAACTGGTTCTCGTTTCTCCACCTGCCCATCTTACACCCCGCTATGGTCACCGAGAGCCTAAGAAATGCTGAGCGGGGCCTAAAATGGTCACGTTTATTTGAGCTGTGATTGGTTCTTCGGTGCTCTTATCGACTGAATCCGCAACCCCATTGGCTTCGGAGCGATAATAAGACGTACGCTGCTCGCCACGCCCCGAACTTCTTAAGCTGGCCTTGAATATTAGGGAGGAGATCAGAGCGTGGGGTCCCAAAAGGCTAACTTTTGAACTACACGAATGGGAAAAACAAAGAACAATGGCTCAGCACTCGGCTGACAACCGAACGCCGCATCAGCGTTCGGCTGGAGTTCGTGTTCTTCAGTGAGGGGGAGGACGGGCTCTTTTGTTACCACTCAGGCCTGCATAAACAATGCAGCATGCACGGTGCTCAGCTCAGCACAAAAGCGGAAATCGGTCAAGCCCGCCTTCTCTGACGACTGCTTTCGGGAGAGATCCGGGTCTAGCACTAAATGTCACTTCGTTTATAGTTAGTATTTTTACGTTAAGACGTCAACATGCCTACAAGGCCTGTGGGCATGTCCACAGGCCTTGTGTTGGGTAAACATCGAGATGTAGGGACCACAAACGGGTCAGAGCGCTTCCTATTGGCGAGGAGATCTAGCTACAGGGGGCGCTCTGACCCGCTTCTTGCTAAGGGGCCGTATTTGTTGCCCCCACTCCTCGGTGTTTACCCAACACAAGGCCTGTGGACAGGCCCACCGGCCTTGTAACCATGCTGACGTCTAAACGTAAAAATGCTAAAAATAAACGAAGTGACGTTTATTGTTATGGCCGGACCTCTCCCGAAAGCAGTCGTCACATCTTCACCCACTTCGGCTTTTCTGCTGAGCTGGGCGTATGCACCTTGCATGCTACATTGTTCATGCAGGCTGGAGTGATGACACAAGGGCCCATCCCCCAACTCAGGCAACCGGAGCACACGAACTCCAGCCAAACGCGGACGCGCCGCTCGGTTAAGTCAGCCGAGCTCTGTGTCATTGTTATTTGCTGTCCCCATCCGTGTAGTTTTAAAGTTAGCCGATAGGGACGCCACGGTCCGACCTCCTCCCCAATAGTTGCACCCGAAACAGCGTCGTGTTCTTTTGTTTGTGTGTGTGTGTGTGCGTGTGTGTGTGCGTGCGTGTGCGTGCGTGTGCGTGCGTGTGCGTGCGTGTGCGTGCGTGTGCATGCGTGCGTGCGTGTGCGTGCGTGTGCATGCGTGCGTGCGTGTGCGTGCGTGTGCGTGCGTGTGCATGCGTGCATGCGTGTGCGTGCGTGTGTGCGTGCGTGTGCGTGCGTGCGCGTGCGTGTGTGTGTGTGTGTGTGTGTGTGTGGTGTGTGTGTGTGTGTGTGTGTGTGTGTGTGTGTGTGTGTGTGTGTGTGTGTGTGTGTGTGTGTGTGTGTGTGTGTGTGTGTGTGTGTGTGCGTGTGTTGCTCTTTTGGCGACGTTGAGTGCTTGGTGGAGTGGGCCGCCGAACCCGTCGCCGTCCTCGGCCAAGCTTCACCGAACGGTCACTTCGACGTCCTTGGAAGTATTAATTGTGCTTCCCTTGACGTAAAAAAGAGTGTAATGCCATACTCAAATAAGGGTAATAGCGCAGGCTAGCGGTTTGAACGGGCGTCGTCGTAATAAAATCCCTAGCCAAAAATTAAACAAAAAGAACGGACAGCACAACGACGTCTTAAATATTTGAAACGTCGTCATGTTGTTCGATCATCATTCTCTTGGTTTTCTTGTCTTGGCGTTTCATAAAAATGTCGTTCCTCCCTTTTACGGGCACATTAAAATGTCTTGAGAACGAGCTTACCTACTTCAAGAATCGGCAAAACATCTTTACATCTCGTCCGTCGTTATGGGGGTTTGTTTCGAATGCCTTTTAAGTGCCCGTAAAACAGGAGCATTAGTGGGTTAACTTTGACAATATATTGATTTAAGAGCGCGATGACTCCATGGTTCCACCGTATTTACTTATACCTTGAAACCTGTCGCTTGCCACGGGTAATCTTGGTCGTAAAATCATAGTGTAGAGGAACCACAGGAAGGCGCCATCAAAAATATGTCCTCAATATCCAGAACTACTTGGAGTTAATAACAGATAAAATATTCAACATTTAAAAAACATTTTGCTACAACATGATTTACTCAGAGTTGGGAAAGTAAGGAGGACTATGATGAAAAAGCGCAACGAAATCGTGTTTGTATCAAGTTTCCATTTCTCTGCCAGGCCTATTGGTACGATAGTTTTCATTCCTCATATACAATATCGATTCAGTGGTGATGATAGACATGGACCCAAACTGAACCAATGTATTCATCATACCTCATCGCACGCAGAACAAAAAAGACACTGTCTGTGAGAAGTGCAATCCATGGCCCACATCCGTCTGAAATGTTTTTACATAACCGCTAAATGAACGGTCCTACTAAGAGATTATTAATGGGATTCTGCAGGTAAAATGTCATCTTTTGGTACCACAGAAGTCATGATCAAACAGGCGTCTCAATACAAAAAGTGTTGTTCGTTGTTTTTGTTTTTTGTCTGTTTCTTTTAACTACACTGCAAAAACACGCTTTCTCTCGCATTGCTATGATATGCAAACTGGTTGAATCAAGTACAAAATATAGGTCACCAAAAGTAAACCAATAATTGCTCTGTACTTTCTCACCCAGATTCAGACAATGAGGAAGGTCGTCGTAGCGCAGCAAAAATTGATTGGCGGTGCAGAAACAAGAAAGCTGGGTTCAATTTCCTTTGCCGGTGTCGATTTTACCGTATGTTGCATCGGCGTGCATTGGTGAAATCACGCACTGACATGCACATTAAAGATGCATTCCCACGGCAGGTGAATGTCGGAATTGTTAGAAACATATTGAGCATTAGGCGCCCCGATGTCACGATAGACTTGTTCCTTAATATTCGTACATCCGGGGCGAAAACACATCAGCGCAAACGAGCGATTACCGAGTCGACGAAAGGGCAACACGTGGGGCTGCAGTAGTGCAAACACAGTGGGAACAAGTCTGCCCTTCGGGTGGCACCAGGAAATTCGGCAAACAGCAATCCTCGTCAAAGCGCGAATTTGAAATAGCGGATCTCTGCTTCATCGTTTTGGAGGTCATGCACGACCGCGCACATTGGGCTCTAAACTGGCAACGATTATTCCCAACAGTATGTATCGATCAAATAAAAGAAAATTCCCAAACATAAATTTCTTGCTTAAGCCCCCTGCTACAGGTTAGAAAGGTGTAGCGGCCCGGTCACATTCGCTCTTGGTGAATTCTAGACAACGCAGCACCACATGTTGCGAATCACTCGTGCGAACTGTAAATTTGTGAACCAAATAATTTAATTTATACGATCTCAATTAGTTGAATGAGCACTAAAAAGGCTTTTACTTACAGTTATTTGCAGCCAACAAACGCTGGGCGCTTCGAGTTCAGACCTTATTAACGCCCCTCATCGATGATACTCCTCTATTAACCGCAAAAGACGACCATAAACAGATGACGAAACAAGCGGTGTGAATATATTAGGACATGTCCGGCGTTTTTAGGCGGTCAGTGTCTACAGTATTTCCAGGGTGATAACATAATTGATGTGCACGCTCGCAAAAATTATAAAGGACACGCACAAGAAATACTATTTTTCCCACCCCGCCTTCCCATCAAGGTGCCATCAAAGATTCATACACACCCGACTGGTTTCTGTGAATTGAAATCCACTTTTCCAGTGCGTGTTTTGACGACACCCGACGCTAGATTCAATAGGCGTATGCACGCCCCATCGATTCACGGGTCCAGCCGTGTTTTGACGCCTGCGTTTGATGACTTAGTCGCGGGAAGTCACAAAAACAAAACGGCAAATTCGTAGTGTAGGTAAAGAAATTGTAAGTAGTTTTTTCCTTTTTTTTTTTTTTTTGCATGAAAATAAAAAACAAGAAATATAGACGTCGTTTTTTCTGAACCGTCCTCCAATGAAAGAAACAAAACTCACATTGCTTGTACGCGTATACCACCTTCAAATAATTTAGACGGGGTACACGCCCATGTTGCGAGCTAGCGCAAAACCTGAACCATCGGGTTAGAAAACGAATAGTATGCAGCGCCCTGCGACTCGGACGTCACACCGCCATGGGGGCGCTGCTGTGGGCGCGCCGTATGCGGCTTCTCCGCATGTGCATTGCCCACATCTGGTGCTACAAAACGGAGATGTGTTTACGTGCGTTGCCTTCGCGTATAGTAGTGACTCCGTGTCTGTCCAGTGACTCTGACATCGACAAACGAGGTCGACGGCTCACCTGAACCCTCTCCTTCCACCAGAGGTCAGCCCACGGGGTCCCGTTGACACCATCCTGCACGCCTACTGCGCTGCTGTTCGCCATGACTGCTGACGTCATCAAGCCGGCAACGCGGGCCAGCTAGGCAGCAGCAACGCCTGCCGCCACCGCCACCGCATCTGCGCCTACACAGAGGAGAACGAAAATAAACGAAGTGTTTAAATGCGGTAGCAATTATTTTCGGAAAACTAGACACCGCCTTAGGCCCATTGAGGTTCTTTCGTATGACACCGATACTTATTCGGAGTGCAAGTTCGTCTGCATCATTTGCAGGGGTTGCGGTGACGTCAGAAAGCCGAGCTCCGACTGGCTCTAGTCGACTTCAAAGCAAGCGGCCTTGAAGTCGACCCCCTGTCCTTCCATTAGAGCCAATCAGAGCTCGGCGTTTTGTCGTCACCGCATCCCCTGCAAAACAAGCAGACGAAATTGCGCACCACATTGGTTCTATGTGTCGCACATGCCGCAGTAAAGCTTCGCCATTTTCCGCGCGGACGTCTCTGAAGGAATATGTAAACCCCAACTAGGATGCTGTTACCACGTGGGTGACTGTCACTTCTCCGATCGCCCACCTAGAATATGACACGATAAGAGCTCCAACTTCGGCTCAAGGTTTATTTCGTCATTCTATTTTTCTTTTTCCTGTTTACGAGACCGCCGTAAAGCACGAAAGTGTCTCACAAAAGCAGGAGCCAACTAAGTTTAGAGCAAAAGGCCGGTGAGCGCGCGTAGCAGAAAGGTCAGCATTGATTTATTGAATTTTCTACCGAAAAAATAGAACGCGTGCCTTAGTGCACGGCATTGTTGCTAGGGGCCCTATTTAAGACCCGGAACATAATGCATAACGGTCTTGAGAAAAACGTTGGTCCTTTTTTAACTTAGATCGGTAACCGCGTCGAAGAAAAATATTGCTCAAGTCTTCGAAGTAAAGTAAAGGTAAACTGTAAAGGTGCCCTTGTCAGACGGGCACGTTACAAGCCTCCAGAGAAAAAACCTTTTATTACCGGAGAACTATACTTTCTTTCACTTTAAGTCAGGACGCAGCCGACGCTACGAGCTGATGGGACAAATCAGACAGCGTCAACATGGCACCATCGTGGTGTTCGTCATGATTCTCTACGTTTTCTATCATCGCTGACCGCTTATGAAAAGGGAAGGCCTAGTAACTTGCGCTATTGGCGTTGTTTGATTCCTCCCATTAGCTCGTAGTCTCGGCCGCGTCTGTACTTCAGCTGCTCGCGAGACGCGCGGCAGAGCGCATGCCCAGATAGCAAGGCCCCGATAAGTAAAGGACCAACGCAGCTGCCTTGGGTGCGCATTCTGGGTCAGCTAGGACCCGAAGAAGAATATAGTTGCTCGTCAGCATGGAGCGTCTGTCTCTCGGGCCATGTCGGCGAAATGCTACATTGATAGGTGCGAGATCGCAATCTTTTTTGTCGATTTTTTAAACATGTTCTTTTTGAAGGCATCTTAGGCACCCGTAAAATTGGGCCATAAAATCTTAAGGGCGCTAAGTGGATCCTAATATTCCGTGAGGCTCTTAGGTTGACAATTTTGAAACCACTAAATTATTTGTACTAACTAATTATTAAAAACCCTTACTGTAAGCATTCCGTGTACCAGCAACATCAATCAGTCAAACACGGCGAATGTGTATAATTTTGTTTTACTGCGCAGCAGTAGCAAACAAATCAGTTTCTGCATTTGGACTTTCCGGCTGTCCCCCAGGTGAAGATAGCCAGAGAGGACAGTAGTCGTACTGACGTGCGCGCACGGCCAAGCAAGCAGCGCCCGATCACGGTATTCTAGAAGATTCGCGTTTGTTCTTCCTCAGAGCATAACTTATATAGTTCGTCTTGGTTTCTTGTTCTCAAAAGTGCCTGTTCACTTCCTCTCCGAACGTGCGACGCTCGAACCTTCTGGGCTGAATATTCCTGATGCCGACGCACATTAGATAAGGAACAACCTCCGACATGGTCGAGTAGGTCTCGCTCTCGCTTGCTGTTACGCCGCCAAATCGCCGCAAGCTTTCCTTCTGCCTCGACGCTCATTCTTTCTGATTTTTTGCACAAGCTCGGTGATTAAACTTTTCTTTTAGGTTCACTGTTCGTCCTCTCGTCACCTTGATTCGTGACATTTCTGTGGAGGTGCGGGGTACCGCAGCCCATGAAACGCACCCGTACGAGGCCTCGCAGCGCAAGCCCAGTCCCCGGCTCAAAAAGACCGTCTGTGGAGGCAACCGAGACCTGCGGAAGCCATCGCACTAAGGGTCGACCCCCGGAACTTGGACATCTACCGGACCCCCAGAGGAAGAAGTTGACGAAACCAACTATGACCTCCCGGGGTCTGCAAACTGAGACACCCGCCGCTGCCTCCCCCGTTGTTTTCCTGCCCTTCGTTCCCGTACGCCGACACCCTTCCACGTTGAGGTCCATGAGAACGTCGACGACTGGATCCAACACTACGAGCGCGTGGCACGACACAAAGGATGGACTGCCGAGCAGTACCTGGATAACCTCTACTTTTCGCTGGAGGGTACTGCAAGGCACTGATTCGATAACCACGAGGCTTCGCTCACGTCGTGGGACATCTGCGTGGCCGAGTTGAAGCGGACCTTTACGAGCCAACACCAAAGGCAGTGAGCGGAGAATCTGCTTCAAACACGAATTCAGGCCCCCAACGAGAGCGGAACCGGTTTCGTTGAAACTTTGCTACGCTTAAGTCCACGCGCCGACCCGCCAGCCATCGACGAGAAAAAGTTGCGCTTCCTCATGACAGGTGTGAAGTGCGAAATCTTCGGCGGACTAATTCGCAACCCCCCTTCCCCCCCCCCCCTCCCCCCCCCCCCCCCCCCCCAACGACCGTTGAAGAATTCGTTGCGGAAGCAACAGACATCGAGCGGGCGCTAGCCGCCCGAGCTCACCAATATCATCGGCTCAACGACGTCTCAAGTCTGGCATCGTTCCGCTCCGAGCTCAGCACCAGAGCCGACGAACTTCACCGGATCATCCGCGACGTTGCTCGCGAAGAATTCAAGAAGCTGCCCCTGCTGCCGACCCTCTGGCATCACTGTACATCGTCAAAGTTGTGCGGGAAGAGAGCTATCGAAACCTGGGCATTTGTCAACCCTGCTCCGCTCGAGCAACCGACCCTGAGCTACGCCGCCATGGCTCGGCGACCGCCGCCAGCAACCCTCCAGTACCAGCAACCGGCGTCCCCCTCGACGGGAAGCCCCTACACCGCATTTCGCTCGGCGCACTCAGAAACAAGCTCCGTACCTCCGAGCCGACCCCCGGCGCCAAGGAAGACGGACGTGTGGCACGCGGATGACCGACGCCCGGTTCCTCACCACTGCGGGGAAGCCGACCACGTGTATCGGCGATGCCCCAACTGGCAGCTTGGGCTTCATGTGTTCACACCAAACGCCGCCCGGCCGAGGATTGGAGAACGAGGAGTACCTGCATCGCCCGCCGTCATCAGCACCCCCTTCCCACAGGGGATCCCGTTCGCCGTCACTACGACGTCCGGCGCCGCCACTTCGTAGGTCTCGCCGAGAGAGACTGTTTCCCCCTACCTCGTCGGGGAAACTAAGCGCAGAAACCCCTGGAGGGGGAGTTGCCGAAGACGACCGCCGGAAACATCCTCCAAGAACGTCGGAAGGCCCCCACTCTAGCGACGGCAAGCATCGGAACAGCAATTCCGCAACGGTGCTCAACAGCCTCAACGTTGTCATCGACGGTCACGATGCGTCGGCACCCGTGGACACCGGAGCAGATTACTCCGTTTTCAATGGGAAGCTCTCTCGCCAACTTCGGAAAGTCACCATGCCATAAGTCGGCCCAGAAATACGCACCACTGGAGGACCATCACGCATGTTGAGACGTGCACTTCTCGCGTCGGAATTCACGGAAACACCTGTCCAGTCAAGTTCGTCGTCCTTCAGGACAGTGCGAGAGACGTCATACTTGGCTTAAACTTCCTGTGTGAACACGGTGCCATGATAAACCTTGGACCAAATAGGTTGACGCTACGAAAGCCCGTCTCACCCCCGGACGGATCAAAAACGACGCAAGCCGCTGTACGAGTCATTGCAGACCACGTGAACCTGCCGCCGCGGTCGAGTGTTCTTGTGCCCGTCGTGACCGATGCAGTCGCCTGCGGGGAAGTCCTTCTGGAAGGGAACGTCCAACAGCTCCTCGGAAGAGGAATCGGCATCGTGAGAATCGTAACGGAACTGCAGGATGGACGTCCTGTGGTCCTCGTGCCGAACTTTCGACAGGAGCCGCAGGACTTCACGAAATGTGCCGCTGTAGGCCACGTCGAAGAATTCTGGAACGCTGCCGAAAGCGCCGCAATCTCCGATGAGCCCTCGCCATCTCAGCCGTACAGTACACCGCCGCCGCAGATCGACGTTAACCCCAAGCTCAGACACCTCCTCGCCTAATACAGCGACTGCTTTGCAACGACGACAAAAGTGCACCAAACAGTTGCGAAACATAGCATCGTTTACCAACGACGATGCGCTCCACGTGCATTGACCACCGTACGGAGTCTCCCCAAAAGAAAGAGAAGCGATTTATGAACTAGTCCAAGAGATGCTCAACGACGTCATCCTTCAGGCTTTAAGCAGCCTGTGGGCCTCTCCAGTCGTGCTGTTGAAAAAGAAGGACGGAACGCTTCAATTCTGCGTAGGCTACCGGCGACTAAGCCTGATGACGAAGAAAGACGTGTATCCGCACCCCGCATCGACGACACACTGGGCCGGCTCCGCCACTCCCGATACCTCTCGTCGATGGACCTGAAGAGTGACTACTGGCAGAGCGAAATCGAGGAAAGGGGCCAAGAGAAGACTGCCTTCGTCATGCCCGATGGACTGTTCGAGTTTAAGGTGATGCCCTTCGGATTGTGCAAGGCGCCGGCAACTTTCCAGCGTGCAATGGACACCGTACTAGCAGGCCTCAAATGGCAGAGCTGTCTCGTTTACCTCTACGACATCGTGGTATTCTCAGCCAACTTCGACGAGCACTTGCGGCGCCTTCAGGCTGTTCTTCAAGCAATCAGGACCTCCAGACTCGCTCTCAAACCGACAAAGTGCGGTTCGCCTACGGCGAACTGAAGTTCGTAGATG